TAGGGGGGTGGGGGGAATATGATTAGGCCAGATTAGAGTAGCCACGATAATATTTTTTTGAGTGCCTTCTTATAGAACCGAGAGGTTATTCGTCAAAATACTTTGGAAAACTGGTTCTTGTATTTTGTCTTTTTAAAAAGATCCATGTCGGACAGTTTGAGCTCGAGTTGTCTGAATATGGAAAAGTCTGTTGTCAGAGGTTGGAAACTGGCAGGCATGCAGATAATGAAAAAGTATTCAACAGCAATCTTGCATAAGGCTAATTTTTTTCCACGATGTTTTTAGAATCTTTGTCCACAGAATGCTGATGTCTTTGTACTTTTTTACTGTGAAAAATGTAAGTGCTGGACAGCATGATGAAGGGAATTATCTGCTCTACTGGATTTTCACTTTCCTTTCTAGAGAAGTGCCAAGTAGGCACTCAAAGCCTAAAAGCTCTGTGTTGAGAGCATGTGATAGAAGTACAGACCAAGGAGTTGGGGAAGGAAGTCCATTTATTCAGGCAAAAAAAGGCCTGGGCAGCAGTAATACTGAGAGAAGGATCATTAAATATGCTGGCTGAGTGAATATAGGTGCTGGGATACTGGCCTGAGAAGGTGGCGTAGGTTGAAATGTCAGAACATGGGAGTATATGGAAAACTTCAGTCATTTTAAGAGAGTAAGAATTACCATTCTAGATCAGATCACCAACTTTCTGTGGTGTGCAGTCTTTGATATTAACTAGCCTTAAGTGCTTAGAAACTAGCAGTAGGCCACCCCTTAATGAAAAATTTAAGGGCTACTTTAAACAAACTAATTTAAATAAACTAAAAGTAAAAAACCATAACTTTATCTTTCTTGTATTCGTTTAAATCCTTTAGAACGTTTGTTTTAATTCAGTTTGTTCTCTAAATTCTTGAAAGTTGCTAATACTTTCTTAATTGTTCTTTCCTTACAGAAACAAGGCAATTCTATCTTCATGGTAGTTCTCCTTCGTCCTCTTTGAAACCAGTGGCTGACAGAAAAACAGCTGTCATAAAGGAAGAGCTCTTGGATTAAGGGGTTTGTTTTGGTTTTGCTTTTTCCTCCTGTGCAGCCCCCAGGTTTCAAAAATTGTGAGTTGAAAAGAGTGCTCAATCTCTGTCAGTCAAGATATTTAATCCTCTTAATAAGCTTTAGGTTTCATGTTTACCTTCTGTCAGTAAGATCTACCATTGAGGTATATTTTTTAAAATACACATTATTTTTTTAATGAAGTGGAGTTTGCTGCTTCAGAGGAAGGATGGTCAGCCAGATAGTTGAGGTGTTGGCTTACAATATCAAACTGAACTCAAGTTTCCCTGTTGCACTGTAGCCTCCCTTGGTTGAGTCACTTAAAACCAGAGAGTATATCTGTACTGATAAATGAAAAAGGGCCGAGGAATGAGCTCAGGCACGGGGTTGATCTGTGATTATCTACAGTGCCCATTAGCTCTTTTCTTAGGTCTGTTTTGGTCCAGCTTTCTCCAAGACAAGTTCCTCTAAATCTTACTTAGCACTAAGTAGTACAGATCTGGGCCAGTCTGTACCAGCTGTAGGACCAAAGATTGGTTTGCAGCACTCTCATATTTAGTAATGTACGCTTTGCCATTTATTCCAGCTTTAAAACAGAGGAACTAAGATTCTGCATTGTACACAAATGGATTACAGATATGTATTAAAACATGCAGGGCACTTAAATACTATATTAAGATCATACACTGAAAATAGTAATGACTGAGGGTCTTCCTTGCATGTGATGAGATTGCTACTTAAATGTTCTGGTTCAGAGAATATTTCTTCTTATGTTGTGAGGGAGCAGTCCAGTTGGCTTATTTACTTTATACCATACATTATTTTGTATTAATTTTAATAAATTAATTAATTAAATTCAGCTCTTCAGGCTGACTTTTAGTTATCTTCTGTTAAACTTAAAATTGACTATGAATTCCTTCCTTTCCAAATGCTTTGCCACCCAAATGCATAGTTTGGTGGCAACTATACTGTACGTATACTGCAAACTTGGGATGTTTCAAATAATCAGAGATGAGTTCTAACACTTCCACTCTTCTGAATTGCTGAGATGGCTTTTATATCTCCACTATGCGATGGTGCCGTGTATACACTGATCGTGCTGACATCTCCATTTTCTTACAGACCTTTTTTTAGCGTTAATACAGACAGCTTTAACAAGAACAGTGGTGTTGACAGTATGATGAGTGTACAGTGAATAGTAAATTAATTCATTATTAAGTTGAAATGTGGCTATGACTTCAGCATTTTACTTGATGTCTCTTCTTGTTATGTAGTAACAGTCACTAGCAAGAGAATTATTTAAAATCTGTAGTGTCTTTGCTTTAGCCTCCCCCAGCAAAAACAAATAAAAAGCATGGGGCAAAGTAGACTATGGTAGAGCAATTGCGTTCACACAAATGAATCATTTACTGAAAGCCTTAAGAATGGACTTGTTACAGAATTGGATTCACAGGTACTAAAAATGTCAAAACACTAAATTTTGCTCATAAAGAAGTAAACTGTGATGTTAGATTAAACTCTGCCTTTCTTGATCTTCTAAACATTTTCTGTGTTTTGGAAACCTAGAAAATTTTTGTATCAGAGTTCTTTGCTGTTAAATAGTTTGTCACCTTTATACCCTTCTTACAAGAAAAAAATTGATTTTTCATACTAATGAAAACAGTGGTTTGGGAGTCCCTAGGTTTTTTTGCTAGCTAGTAAGCCGACTATGCACATCTTAAATGGTTAGTGTCTAGACCATAAAATATGTGACACGGTTACATGTAGTCTTTCATGTAAAAATACATTTATATTTGCAAACTCATTAGAGTTCTTTACAATTATTTTCATTATAATTGCTTGCTGTTGTGCTGGTTGGAAGCATGCTTATAATTTCTAAACTGGATGTCCTTGTTGGTTATTAAAGACAGTTTTTTTATGCCAGTGTTGTTCTTCAGCTTAAATCAAAGATGCCAAGCCTATTGGCAGCAAGTGACTGCAATCAACCAAAAAAACCTCCTCCAACCCAAAATTTATTTTTCTGCTAAGTGACAGGAAATGGCAGCAAAGCTGGTGGCTTGAGTCGCTGCGGATTGGCTCCATGTGGGTTGCCTTCTCAAGCCATCCCTGTCATATTCCTAGCTACTTGTCTGTCATTAGACTGAAATCATGCATCTAATTTTTTGCATGAAATTGGATTCTGTCATGTTGTAAAAATCCAGATGCGTTCCAGATTACATGGCACTTCTGTCATGTGAGTGCAGATACATCAGTCACATAAATGCTATCTGCATTTTGATTATAAACGTTATGGGAATAGAGCACAGCATTCTATCTTTCTCTCTTTACAATCTTTTTATGACCGGCACTTTTTGAGTTTCTCTGGTTTTGTTGGAGTAGAGGAAGGATATTTTCTAGATTATAAATATTGTCTTTTTTTTTCACTTTATTGATAATTAGACTAAAACAAGAAGAGAGATTAAATAAACTTAAATGTAGATACTATTTCAAGACCTTATTAAAAGTTTGTATTTCAATGGTTCTTTTATTTTTTCCTGATATACTTTCTTCTTTTCATCCAGTATATTTATAGAGACTAATCTAATCTCTTAGCCTTTGGTTTATTGACTTGGTAAACCAAATTTACCTCTCTGTAGGGAACAGTAATTGATTCACCAGAAAAAAATCGGTAACCTTCTGCACACCTCTTCCTGTTCTGGTGCAGGTTTCTTGAATGTGGCTATGCATTGTGTGAGGTCTCGCCAATGCTGTGTGGTGACATTAATGCTTCTGTATGTGTAATGGAAGTATTTTTATTTTTGCACTTGGATTTTACTTACTCCAGTGTTTTCTATACTTTGCTATCATTGGGATTGACAGATGTCTCTAGATTTTTCTCATTTCTTCATCCAGTTTACAGCAAAGAATCATTGTTTTTCTTGAAAATGCATGCTCTTTCATTTTTATATAGTATCCCATTTTTGTTGTCCATGATCATTCTTCTCTTCTAGTGTAATAACCTGATTTTTCTAAATTGACAATGCCTCTCAACACTGTCAGCAAAAAATTTCACTGAAATTTTTTTACATTGTGGGTTGTGAACACTATCTTAGTCCAAGACGGATTTGTATTTGCTGCATTTGGCTAAAACGGAAGACCTGCATTCAGCTAAAACAGTGATTTTATGTATTGTAGAGTTCAAATAAACCTATTGGATTCTTTTCTGCTCTTCAATTGTTGAAATATATATGAAGCAGTTTGAGAAATACATTCCAAAATAGACATAGAACCTGAAGCCTTTTGTACATACTGGCACTTCAAGTTTTTGTCCCCTGGGGAGCAAGGAAGGGAAAATGCCAGTTATGTTTCTCACTTTATAAACACTGTAAAGGAAATAAGTAATTCCCTGTTTTCATTTTGTAAAGCACAGCTTTAACTGTTCAAAGTATTTCTTCCCAGTTCTGTTTGTTGATGTTGAAGTTTATCAAGATCTGTTCAGTGCTTTCCCTTAAATTATTTAAATAAAAATGTACTGAGTTTGTAAGTTCAGCTTTTATTTAAACAGACAAAATGTTAACTGAATTTTTTAATACCTTAGAGATTTTTTTGAAAATATTACCAAAGTTAGACTTTTTTATTTTAATCAACTATTTGCTATGATCTTAATACTTTTTAAGATGGAAAGTTTAATATCAGGCATGTCCATATTCTTATAATGTTTAACTTTTAAGAAATACATGTCTATGATGTAATTAGATGTGGTGGTTATAAATTCCTTGCTGCCTTGGATTCATGTATTCTAAACCTGAAGGTTAATAGGAGGTAACAGTGACATATCAGACACTGTACCAAGCAACTAGATAGCTTTCTGCTAATACATGCAGTATGGTCATCATTAGAAACCAATTAGAAGGCATTTTGTTCTAAGGTAAACTTTGTTTGGCTTCATCTATGAATACTCATACTGATTTTTATTCCAATATGCAGTAATGGAGCAACTGCAGGATCCAGTTATGCAAGAAGATGCAAATATTAAAGCTATTAAGGAAGAGTACAGGAAAGCCTTTATTTTTATCAATAAAGGACTGAATACAGATGAACTGGGTCAGAAGGAAAAGGCAAGAAGTTATTATAGGCAAGGGCTTGACCACTTGCTCCGAGGAGTTAACATTCCATTGCAGGGCCCTGCATGTGTAGGGTCCCAGTGGGAGTCTGCCAGGCAAATGCAACAGAAGATGAGGGAGACGCTCCAAAATGTTCGCGCTCGACTCAGCATTCTACAACAAGATACTCCACCTGTACAAGCAAGTCCTGCTCCAATGGATGCCGCTGCTGGGGTGCCCAAGTTGTACCCATCCATTCCTTCCAAAGAAAAGCCAGAAAGACCCCCGGCACCTAATTCTCCGTTTGTACCAAGTCAGCCACCCACAGCAGATGGAAGTGTTGCAACTGTGAGCCAGGGGCAGATTCCAGCTATGAGTCCATCGTCTGCAAAACCTCTTTGTCTGCCAAGTGAAGCACCTCCTGCCTATACTCCTCAAGCCACCAATGGCCATTTTACTGTGTCTTATGGCACAGACTCTGGGGAGTTTTCTTCTGTAGGTGAAGACTACTACAGTAAGTGTACACAGCCACCTCCCCTTGAAAACCTGGGAGTGGATGCAGACGAGCTGATACTGATTCCCCAAGGAGTACAGATATTCTTTGTGACTCCTGATGGGCAGGTTAGTGCTCCTTCATATCCTGGATATCTACGCATTGTGAAGTTCTTGGATACAGATAGTGAGACGGCCCAGAACTGTGCACCTGCATTTCTTCAGGTAACGGGATCATAATTTTCTCCTTTAATTAAACTTCAAGAACTGTCATAAAACTTTAAAAGGCAACCTTCTTAAGTTCTTGCTCTTCTGAGCCTAAATCTCTGTGTGATAATATGAAAGATGTTATAGCTGTTGGAAGAAGAGTTTTCTGCAAATACGCACTTTTATGACTTTTTCTGTGAAAACCACCTCTGTGTCTTCCCAAGGCTGTAGAGTGCTGACTGTTCTGGTGAATTCCGTTTTCTAAAGGAGTTGACTTCACACGTCTTCATTTCATGAAATTAAGTTCCCTTTCCTTACATAGAGAAGACATGTTGATTCACCTGTTGTAAATATGTCAGTGTAAAATGGGTGAGTGCGCCACCCGCTTTAGTCTCAACTAGTGATAAGGTATTGCAGTTAGAACAACTGATAATTTGGAATACGAGGGCCCATGTTAATCCAGACTCTGAACTACAAATACAAAAGATGCACTATTTGGATTTTTTTCAGTCCATGCTTGCTTCATGTGGGCGTGTTCTGTAATGTACATTGACTTTAGATCTTGTTGCTGCTAAGGTTGGCTGTTGGAAGTCTCGTCAGTGAAAGGGAAACTTGGAGGAACAAACAAAAACGCTTCCTGATTTTGGGTCTGCTCATTCACCTCCACCTGTGTTAGCAGTCTTCAACAGCTGGCCAGCTACAGCCCTATATTCTCTTTATCCTGTCATGTAAACACATCCTGAGATTTACAGGAAGTTACAGGCGCTGTGAATGCTGACTTGTTCGGCAGTGCGCTTCATCTGCTTGTAGACCTGGGCCTCAAGACTGAACCTCAGTTAAGAGGCTACCAGCCTGAATTATAGTCCTGTGAAAACTAGTATTTTCTCTATATTAGATTGTCAGAACTAATCAAGAATTATATTTCCACAGTCATGTGGGGTTTTTTGCGTGGTTTTGGTTTGTTTTTTTTCAAGATAGCATAAGGCATTTTTATTTTTCTTACTAAACTTCATGGAAAATCAAGTTTGTGTTGCTTATCAGTATATTCTACCTGCCTTTCTTTTCAAAAGAATAATTTAATTCCTTTATGTCCTTATCTTTTCTAGGTTTGTGACTGGTTTTATCCTCTAATGCCTAACCAGTCTCCTGTTCTGTGCTGCAATACTGGAGTCTACATGTTCCCTGACACAACGTCTCAGATACCAGGGTCCTATGTGGGAGTAGTGTTGTCTTCAGAACTTCCAGCAGCTGACAGGGAGCTGTTTGAGGATCTCTTAAAAGAGATGGCTGACCTTCGAATCCAGGTAAATTCCTGGGCTGCCTTTTTTAAGCTAATAAGGAAGGGTAGAAATGATCAATATATTCTCCCATTTACATCTAGTTGTGTAAAGCTGCAAAGTTCAGTGTCTTGCTTGTTAACCTCACCAGTGAGAAATAGATAAAGTACCCAAGATTAAGCAACTGAATAATGAAACTGTAGGCTCTGTGAGGTGGGAGGACAGACATTTTAAAATAGTAAATTGTAAGTACAGAGAGGAATTGGCTACCACTTTGCATATTTTCTCTGTTTTTCCAAAAGAGAACATAGGACCCAAAATTAAATTTTATGTTCAGGAGAAAGCATGATTTTTCCTCTGTTTGTGCATACATATGCACGCGTTCTCTGTGTATCTTTGATGATACCATTCTTGGAATATTGTGCCCAAATGTGTTTATAGATCAAAAATGTTAAGCTGCTTCAGAGAAGACCTATGAAAATAGTGTGTACCTCAGAAATCTGCCTTCAAATGGGATCTCAAAATAGGTAAATCTAGCACCTTATTGCAGTAAGATACTAACAGATAAAATAGAAAAAAAACCATAGTCTAACAAAGGTGCAATAAGATACCGTGGCTGGAACCAAGGTGAGAAATGTTATTGTATAAGCACCATTTCAGGAAGAATGGTGATCAATAACTACTTAAAAGCTCATAGCAAGATTGTATCTTTTCATGAAAGACGTAATCTTGTTGAATCACCACAATTTGAATGGAGTGACAATGAAGGACCAGTTTCCAGCATAGCATGTGGGGAGAGTTCTGTAATGTTACAGATCCTCTTTGAGTTCATCAGGTAATTTCACTAGCACAGGAGGCCACTAATTTTTATTTAAAAGGGAAAAGTACTACAGAATTATGTGATGTTTCAGTGCAGGACTTAACTGGATAAAATCATGTTATCTTTCCTGTGTAGAAGTAGTTCAAATTAGATAGCTCATTAGTTTCTTACTGTCCTAAAATTGCACAATTTTGTTAATATTCCCTGATGCGATGTCACAGGTGCCAGGATCCCATGAGAGAGTAGGGTTATCTTCAGAGCTCCCAGCAACTGAGAGAGCGCATTTTGAAGATAGATTTAAACAGATGTCTGGCCACAAAGTCCAGGTAAATTCCAGGACAATTATTGCAAAATTTTATAGTTTTGAAAAAAAAATTGTCACTGAAATAGATGTTAGAACTGCTGAAATTTCAGACTTGGTCGAAAGCAGCAACGTATGTTGTGCCCTGTCGGGTTTTGTTTGTTTGTTTAAGAGCTGGTTCAGTTACTGCAGGCTACCACATTTTGTAAATCAGTAGCACATTTCTGGAGTTTTAAAAACTTTGTGATAGAACACAAGTATTTCAAAGCCTAGTCTGATGGCCATTTAATATATCTGCTTTATATAGTACTCAGGATCTAATTAACAAGCATATTTAATGTAATTATAGTACCGAGTCACGTATCTCGTTAGAGAACCCATTACTGCTCCTCAGCAAAGTCCTTAGAAGTCTCATTAAATGTTTTTCTACATCATGACCCAATGTTGTGGTTTAACCCCAGACAGCAATAAGCCCCATACAACTGCTTGCTCACTACCCTCTGTGGAATGGGGGAGAGAATTGGAAGGGTAAAACTGAGAAAAACTCGTGGGTTGAGATAAAGACAGTTTAATAGGTAAAGCAAAAGCTGTGCACACAAGCAAAGCAAAGCAAGGAATTCATTCCTTGCTTCCCACGGACAGCCAGGTGTTCAGCCATCTCCAGGAAAGCAGGGCTCCATCATGAATAACGGTTACAAATGCCATCACTCTGAACGTTCCCCCTTTCTTTCTTCTTCCCCCAGCTTTATATGCTGAACATAATGTCATAGGTATGGAATATCCCTTTGGTCAGTTGGGGTCAGCTGTCCCAGCTGTGTCCCCTCCCAGCTTTTTGTGCACCCCCAGCCCACTGGCTGGTGGGGTGCTGTGAGAAGCAGAAAAGACCTTGGCTCGGTGTGAGCACTGCTCAGCAGTAACTAAAACATTCCTGTGCTGTCAATACTGTTTCTAGCACAAACCGAAAACATAGCCCCATACTAGCTACTGTGAAGAAAATTCACTCTACCACAGCCTAAAACAGCACACTCAAATTGTGGTGTAACTAAATCATATGCGGAGCATACTTGACGAGCTTTTTATTGGTGGTGGTGATGGTCACTGCGTTTTAGGTATAGCTGTGTATTAAGGTAATTTCTCCTGCCCAGCTCACAAAATATTTTGGTCACATGCTAGAGACGTTTCTTAAACATGAAATTTTGCACTGCTGTCAAGCAGTAATTGATGGTATAGTACAAGTCAGAGATACATTGTTAACCTAGCAACTTTTCAAGACTTAATCTGCTCTTTTCTGTTAACATTGTTTTTGTTTTGTTTTACTGCAGCAGCCATCTTTGTGCACTACCCTATTTTTATTTCCAGTAAATATTTCAGAGGAATTTAAGAATTCCAGGAAATACCAAATATTATTCTATATTGTGTATTCTATTCTGTACATAGGTTTTATCTATGAATGCTTTCATATCGACTCTTCGAGACTAAAAAGAAAGGTTTTTTTGTACTGTTCCTTATTAACTACGAGTGTTTTCAGTCATTGAAATGTTTATTTTTTTCCTTTTACATTGGAAAAATCATAAAAATAGAATCCTAACCAAAACCTAATTCTATTACTTTTTTTTGCTTTCCCTAATTAAAGTTTAATTACACATTGTCTGTGAACTGTGTAAAGTTATATTACACTTTTTAGGAACACTAACCAGACTGTGATGGTGGTTGCTATGTTTGAATGATTAACGTCTACTCCAGAAACTAGTGCTTGACGTGCTGCACCAAACCTACCCACCCAAGTGTAAATGTGGAGCAGTATCATGCACAGCTGGATGTGTTTCTTGGCTGTACCCGTCTGGAAAAGCATCGACAACATGTAGAATGAGAATGAATAATCTCCTTTATTTTTGAATTTGTGAATGAAGGATGAGGAGGAAACAACCAGAACAGTTGCATTCTTTTAATGCAGCTAGACTGCAGTTCCCATACTGAATAACAACAGAGTTGACTTCCCTCTGAGAAGATAAAAAATTATAGATGGACAAGTCTCTTATCGTTTTTGCTAGTTAACTTGTACAGTAAGTTTTTCCTCCTTAGTTCCTTGACCACATGGCTGTGTTGGCATGTAAATCTTTTCATTGTAACTGGATGAAGAACATAAAATGCTGACCTGTACGATAAGCTTTTTTTTGAATGCATAGCATTTCTGTGGAGAAGTAATTGAATCACAAATTTCCATTGAATTCCTATACACTTACCCAACGAATACATAGCATTAATGTTTTCTGATAATGGCTCTGTATGATCTAAAACATCTAAAGCAGAAATCCTGAAGATATGTTGCAAAGTGTATTCTCAGATGTTTCCTTTCACTCGGTAGCCTGCAGAAGCCTCCAGTGATGCAGTTAACTTGTCTCAGACTGTACGTATCCAACCACAACCTGAAGGAGTGGACAATCATCAAGAGTTGCCAGAATGGAGTGAGAAAGTTGCCCATGGAATCTTGTCAGGTACTGCTATAATAAGAGGATTTTGTTGAATATAAACCTCTGAGAGTAATATTTCAACAGTATTTTCATCTAAATGCATGTGAGCTGGTAGAAGCTGAGTGGTCAGAAGTAGTTGTTCACCAGTTCCGGTTATAATAACCTAAATGATACTTTGGTAGGCTCTATAAAAACAATGCAGAATTTAAATCCATTGCCAGCAGTCTTGTTCATTGCCAGTGAGTCAGGCTTCTCACTTGACTCACCCCCTGTGACTCAAACCACTGTGACAGAACACTTTTACTCCTGTATGAGCAGTTATATGAGCACTTATATTAAAGCAGGCACCTATCGTGATTTCTGCAGACAAACAGTTTTTTCCTCAGAGAACCGTTGGAATATACTAATGACCACCACCTGATTGTAATAAATATGAGTTTGCTAGGAGGGCTAGAGGGTTGGGCTGTGTGTTTTCAGAATGTTAATAGAATTGGGATATGCAATTCTATCACTTTTGACCCAGCTGGCACTTGGATATTTATTAAAAGGCTGAGTGTCTGTATTAAGCTGACATTTGGATGAGGGCTGGCTGTATTAATCTTAAATGGACATGAACAGTGGGATTGAATGCACCCTCAGCAAGTTTGCCGACAACACCAAGCTGTGTGGTGCAGTTGACACACTGGAGGGAAGGGATGCCATCCAGAGGGACGTTGACAGGCTTGAGAGGTGGGCCCATGCAGACCTCATGAATTTCAGCAAGGCCAAGGGCAAGGTCCTGCACATGGGTCGAGGCAATCCCAAGCACAAATACAGGCTGGGAGGAGAATGGATTGAGAGCAGCTCTGAGGAGAAGGACTTCGGGGTGTTGGTAGATAAGAAGCTGAACATGACCTGGCAATGTGCACTTGCAGCCTAGACGGCCAACCATATCCTGGGCTGCATCAAAAGAAGCATGACCAGCAGGTTGAGGGAGGTGATTCTCCCCCTCTACTCTGCTCTTGTGAGACCCCACCCAGAGTCCTGCATTCAGCGCTGGAGCTCCCAACATAAGAAAGACATGGACCTGTTGGAGTGAGTCCAGAGGCTGGCCACGAAGATGATCAGAGGGCTGGAGTACCTCCCAGATGAGGACAGGCTGAGGGAGTTGGGGTTGGTCAGCCTGGAGAAGGGAAGGCTCCGGGAAGACCTTATAGCAGCCTTCCAGTACCTGATGGGGAGGGACTCTTGACCAGGGAGTGTAGCGATAGGATGAAGAGTAGCAGTTTTAAACTGAAATAGGGTAGATTTTTATTAGACATTAGGAAGAAATATTTTACTGTGAGGGTGGTGAGGCACTGGAACAGGTTGCCCAGGGAAGTTATGGATGCCCCAACCCTGGAGGTGTTCAAGGCCAGGTTGGATGAGGCTTTGAGCAACCTGGGCTAGTGGAGGGTGTCCCTGCCCATGGCAGGGGATTTGGAACTCAATTGTCTTTAAGGTCCCTTCCAACCAAAACAATTCTATGATTCTATGATAAATAATGTGAATTGAAAAAATATGGGTGATGTAAGAGCAGAAATCGTGGGAGGAATTCATGCTGGCCCATTCAAGGAAGAGTATAATTGCAGTCTGTGTAATCAGAAATGTTTTCTAAAGTCAGCATTGCAGAGGCAGATGAGGGAAAGCTGTAGGAATCATAGTCTGTAAAATTGTACGCTCTAAGAAAAACATTTTTTTCCTTGAAGGTGCATCTTGGGTAAGCTGGGGCCTAATAAAAGGAGCAGAATATACTGGCAAAGCTATCCACAAAGGAGCTTCAATGCTGCGAGAACACATTCAGCCAGAAGAAAAACCTCTGGAAGTCAACCCAACTGTAGCAAAGGGGCTTCATGTAGCAAAACAGGCTACTGGAGGAGCTGTGAAAGTCAGCCAATTCTTAGGTAAAAATTTCCATCTTACAGTATATTATATTTTTATCTTAAATATTCTGTAAAATTAGAGCTGGTTTCTCCAGCCAATGAGCTAGAAGAGGGACTGACATGATCAGTAGTTTGGGCCCAGTTATCTCCTGCAAGAGACATTCTTAGGAATTGAAGCTGTGCAGAATCTGAAAAATAAGGTTGGTTCTCTATCAGTTGGGTACTTGAGCATGGATTAAAGTCTGTCTTTCAAATAAGCATATTTAAATAGAAGTAACACTTAAGAGTTCCATGAATCTTACTTTTAATTAGGAGTAAGGACTTTTAAAGAAAGATGTTCTGTGTTCTTGCTAAATAATGTGCATACTATTGTTTTATGGTAGTTGAGGGAGTGTGTTCTCTAGCAAGCTGCGTCGGAAGGGAGCTGGCTCCATACGTGAAAAAGCATGGCAGCAAATTAGTTCCAGAATCCCTTAAGAAAGATAAAGATGGCAGATCTACTTTTGATGGTGCCCTAGTGGTAGCAGCAAGTGGACTTCAAGGTAATAAAAATTCCTTATGCTTTTTTAATTGCATACTTTGCAATGGTATGAACTCAAATAAGCTGTTCATTTTTACAGGGTTTTCAACAGTGTGGCAGGGTTTAGAAAGTGCAGCGAAGTGCATTGCTAAAAGTGTTTCAACTGAGACTGTAAAAACTGTGAAATACAAGTAAGTTATATTTTTATTGGTTTCACCTTCTACAACATGCTGTCATTGTGTTTGAATACTGGCAAAAAAAAAAGCTTATGAGAGTGCAGGGAAGTTGACTGAAATACCTGCTTTGATTTAATTATGCAGCACATGATAAGCTGATAAGTGCACAGTAATGAGTATCTCTTGTAAGTAAAAATATTAAATGAGTAAATGATTGTCGTAAGTATTTTTTTTTAGCTCTCTTCTAGAAGTATTACACCTTCAGGCTATGTTACAAATAGTGTTCAGATTTATATCTTTGTTCTACAGTATAATGTCAATATGAAAAAAGTGACTGCTTTAAACCTCTCAGCTCTGATCCTGAATTTCTGTAAACTTAGCTAAATTTGAAGAAAAACAGAAGAACTTCATCTATCAGCAGGTCTGACGCAGGTCTGACTAAAGTGAGGAGTGCAAAAAAGAAAATTGTGTAAGGAAATCTAAGGCATAAATAGCAATAATAATATAGCCTTATTTGCAAAATACAGCTGTTCTTAGACAGAGATAATTGGGGAAGAGTAAAGTCACATTTGGGATTAAGATGATATTACTAAGATGATGGAAAGAACAATGTTGAGCGCATGTACTGGAAGATGCTGTGGAGAGTAAGCGAATATAATGAAAAAAATGCAAAATGTATTAAATGCACCCCTCAAAAAAAGTGCAATGGGTAAAATAGAAGTGAAGAGCAAGCAAAAGCATGGAGGTTAAATGGAATTGGTGATAAGTGTAGCAAAAGAGATGTTAAAAAGGATTGCTGAAAGTGCATACAGGCTACTAGCAGAAGGTAACAACGTAAATGGTATAAGCATATGGTACTAAGTGGATTGGCATTCAGGGTTGTGTGTGATGCATTTCAAATAGGAGGCTAGATAGTGCAGTTCTAGTCAGTGGTGCTTTATTGGTAATGTTTGTTTTCAGTAGGAATGTCAGGAGGTATTGTACTGGCACTCGTTTCACATAAATTCACATTAATGTTTTTGTTTTAGATATAAAAATAGGAAATGTGGAGATCAGCAGTCAGCAGCCCCTAAGAATGAAAAACAATAAGTAATTAAATATTGCAGTTAATTACAGTACAATTGAAAATACTTGATATTTAGAATCTATATACATGTATTAAAATTCTACATAATATTTCTTTGGAAGCTGGTTTCTGTTTCAGTGACAAAGGTTTCTGCCACTCAAAATACTTCAGTGAATAGGCTAAATTCCACTTAATGGAAACAAAGCTAAAGGAGCATCATCACAGTGTCTCTAAATCAACAAAAAATAGCTAAAAAACAGCTGCAGTACTTTTGCAAATGGAATTATAAAGAGATGCTTATCATATGTGTATGTTGATCGGAATTGGAGGAAAACATAGCTTCAGAAGTAATATTTCTGTCAAAGTTCCACGCTACTATCTTAGTGCGGTTTTTTACAATTATATAAATAACTGCACTATCTACATCTGCCCAACTTCTTTTTCTGAAAAAAAAAAAAAAAAGTTACAAATGGTGCAAATGAAAAACCAATTATCAAATATTAGAAATTGTTAGTCTAACTGTCTTGGATAAGCTAGTCTTGCTTTAAATGAGGTTACCTATTTTACTGATGTTATATAAAACTGGCTTATGATGCTCCTGAGGTGAAAATAATTAATCAAATTGACAAATACTGCACTTTTGCTGTGAGATTAATTCTGTGATCTGCAAATCAGATGTTGGTGATTCCAGGCTGTTACTGTATCAGACAATTAATAACAAAACAAAAATAAGCACTAACTTTTTATTTTATTTCGTTCTTGGGTCCAGCCATTATGCTGTGGCTGCTGTACTAATAATGCAATAGATTTTTGGATTCTTTGATATTCTGTGCTTCTCTCTAGCCTTATTTTCCTCAAAATAATTCCGCTGGTCATAAGAAACATAGGGAGAAAGTAACTCTGGTAACTGCTGGCATTTTGATGCTGCCAGAAATACTTCCCTTTGGCCTGGTTTGTCTGATTACAGTGCTCCCTGAGGAAATGTCTGGCTGCCCGGAACAGCTAGAGTTACTACTCTCACTGTACTCTTGTCCTCCTCCATTATACTCTTTCTACTGGCGTAGATGTGTACCTTTCTGCACAGTTGAGTAATTAATATGAGACTGCTGACTTGCCCCTTAAAGCATAGAGAAGCTGGACCCACAGCCCAGTGGAGAAACCAGAAGTTTTATCTCTTGGTAATTTTCAACAAATCCTCAAGATAGCTTTGAGCCTTCTGGGGTTTTGTATAAGATCCCCTTGCCACACCCCTTTCCCCTTTGCCACTGTATTGATTCCAGGTTACTTCAGATATGTTTTCACTGCACAATTGAATTTTTGTGTAGGGACTTTGCTACCTGCAACATGTGAGCAAAGCTATGTCAGCAATTCTCTGTGCGCAGGAGACCTGTTAGACTGTCTGGGTTAATTTTCTTGAGCACAGTGGTGCTGCTTTTGGGACTTTGAACTAACATGCCAGTGTGTGGCTGTTACACCAGACATAGTATCATATTATGCCATGTAGACGCAAGCAAAGGTGATACAGGACAAGTACTAACCAAGCATTATTCTGGCAGTCGTGCTACCAACTGAGAAAAAGTATGCCTGAGGTGATTCCAGTCCCTTTTTCTGTAACAGGTGAGAAAGCAGGACAGTGTTTGCTCTCCCTCCTCCTCAGTGCTGCCACTCATGGTACACACTGAGAAAGTTTAGCAGCTGCAAGGGTGTATCACAGGGGAATAGAGGGTACTAGGATTTTTACCTAAGAACTTAGGTGAAAAAAGTACTTACGGGTTATTGCATACAACTTCTGCCCCCTCCTTCTTATAGTTCTGTAGATAAGCCTTCTACTCTTCTCTACAGACTAGAGGGGAAGGAGGGAGAAAGGCTGAAAGGTTTTTTGAGGAAAAAGGTCAGAAGCATATTGATATCTTTAAAGAGTAATCTGTCTGATGGAGGAACAGCCCTTACTCAAATGGCTTGGTAATTTCTGATTTTATTCTTCAGACACTGAGGATGTGTGCTTATTATTTATTCTTGGTAATGCTGAAATTTTTGCTTTCAAAAGAATTTGACTGAAGAGAACAATACTAAGTATCTCTATCTACAAAACTGCTATCTTTCTAAGGTATGGAGATGATGCTGGCCATGCTACGGACAACGCTATGAATTCTGCAATCAATCTTGGTGTGACAGCATTTAACATTGAGAGTATTGGTATCAAAGCTGTTGTAAAGAGAACTGCAAAGGAAACTGGCCATGCTGTGTTAGATGAATATAAAGTGTTGGATAATGAGAAGACGGATAAAAAATGAAAGCAATTAAATATTTCTCAAAGCCTTACATTAGAGATGAAACTTCCTGTTTAGAAGTAACTACATTGCTAATCCATGATTTAACACAAATCACACTGTACTTCTCAAGCAACTGTTAACTTGATTTGACATGGAAATATAAAGGTAGGGAGGGAATTCATAGAAGGAAGAGTGAATGTTGTCTTAACTCCTTGTTCTGTATTGAACAAGAGTTTCAAATAACTGGATCACGGCTTTAGACAACTGGAAGAGCAGGAGTTTGTAGTTAATAAACTTGCCTCTGTGAGCACTTTCTCAAAATAATATATGGAATACTATATTAATGTAGAAATACTATTGCAAATATTTTTGTAATATTTTATATTTGTAAAGAAGGTGGTGATACAGAACAAATAGGATTACTGATTCTATAGTAATTACTAGTTTTAACTAACCTTAAGAGTTAGTTTTACTAAAACAGCCTTGTCTTATTTAATATGCACTACTAAAATAAGTGTTGAGTTTCATTGTTTTGTAGAGAATTTCCCTTTTCAGCTACCAAACAGATAATCTTATCCAAAGTTTATGTTAGAAGAAATGAAAGATGAACCTTGGGTAACTAGGTATTTATTCCCTTTAAAACTTTTTTTTTTCCATCCAGCATATAAGCAAACCAAAGACATTGAGCATTTCTTCTAAAAGAGAGTATTTACTACTCTAGAAAAATCTATTCTCCTGTTGACTTCATAAGGAATATACAAAGATTCTTTGAAATTGAGATTTTTATATAGAGAGTATAAGTATGTTTTTGCATAAGTTAAAGTATTTTTCTGTAAGAACATTCTATAGAGGACACTAGGAACTTCTATGCGTTGTGTACTTTTCAGCCAATCCAGAAAGATTCAGAGTATATATCATGGCCTCCTAATGGAAGACATTATGTATTGGCTTCAACAAGTAGTTCTAATGCTCAGCATCTTTATTCCATTAAATTCACAGTTGCACAAGGTGCATCTTTAAAAGGTATGAAGACAAGCCCTTTTAATGAAGAGATGTGTGTGGAATAGAACAGACACCGGGTAGGTTTTTCATCATGTTTCTAGTGCAGTGTGAAATAACTCCATATGTAGAACCCTTGAGATGCTTTTACGCTGCTACTTATTTAACAGTTCATTATTGAGTTCTAAGGCTGACACACATTCCAGCATTGGCTGGACCTATGAGAAACAGACCACTCTCACTTTACAACTTATCATAGAATCATAGAATAGTTTGTGTTGGAAGGGACCTTAAAGACGATCGAGTTCCACCCCCCCTGCCATGGGCAGGGACACCCTCCACTAGACCAGGTTGCTCAAAGCCTCATCCAGCCTGGCCTTGAACACCTCCGGGGATGGGGCATCCATAACTTCCCTGGGCAACCTGTTCCAGTGCCTCACCACCCTCACAGTAAAATAATTCTTCCTAATATCTAATAAAAATCTACCCTATTTCAGTTTAAAACTGCTACTCTTCATCCTATTGCTACACTCCCTGGTCAAGAGTCCCTCCCCATCTCTCCTGTAGGCCCCCATTAGGTACTAGAAGGCTGCTATAACGTCTCCCTGGAGCCTACTCTTCTCCAGGCTGAACAACCCCAACTCCCTCAGCCTGTCCTCATCTGGGAGGTGTTCCAGCCCTCTGATCATCTTTGTGGCTGGCCTCTGGACTCACTCCAACAGGTCCACGTCCTTCTTATATTGGGGGTCTCAGAGCTGGATGCAGTACTCCACGTGGGGTCTCGCCACAGTAGAGGGAGAGAATCATCTCCCTCAACCTGCTGGCCATGCTTCTTTTGATGCAGCCCAGGATATGATTGGCTTTCTGAGCTGTGAGTGCACACTGCCGGCTCATGTTGAGCTTTTCATCAACCAATACCCCCAAATCCTCCTCAGAGCTGCTCTCTCTCCATTCTCCTCCCAGCCTGTATTTGTGCTTGGGATTGCCTCGACCCATGTGCAGGACCTTGCACTTGGCCTTGCTGAATTTCATGAGATTAGCACGGTCCCACCTCTCAAGCCTGTCAACGTCCCTCTGGATGGCATCCCTTCCCTCCAGTGTGTCAACTGTACCACTCAGCTTACTGTTGTCAGCAAACTTGCTGAGGGTGCACTTGATCCCTCTGTCCATGTCTCCAACAAAGATGTTAAACAACAGTGGTCCAAAAAATAACTATTAGTTCTTAGCAAATTATATTTGCATTATATAGAAATGACAAAGTAACAACTCATGTCTATTAGAATGACGTTAGGTGCACATTTTGTGGTACTTAACGGTAGTTGTCTGCTTAGGGTGAGAAATGTGAAACAAAGGATCTAACCACTTGAAGTGTAACTTTGATTTATGGAAATAAAGATGAAATTGGTTAATCTGTGCTTGGCCTTTTTATGAGATGAAACTACTGTACAGGTCAGTGAGTGGAAAAACTAGGACTTCTGAAGTAACAAAAGAACTGTATTGGGGTATGTCTACAACAGAAACAAGATCATCAATTAGAGATTAAAATATTTAAAACGAAAAAAGTTTATCAAAAGTACACTATAACAATTTATGTTACTACATTCTGTAACTTGTCAGCAAATGTAACCAATTTAAGGCTACTAAAGACTTCACACTCTCTAAAGCGTTTTTGTTGTTATGAACTGCATTTACAATGGGGCCATCTGTGTTTGTACCTTCCTTCTCCCTCCCATTTTGGTTTTGCATACAGCTCATGCCCCTTAGCTTCGTCTATAAACCATCAGAACAAGTTGTATTAAAACAACAGTTAAGATCAAAGTGTAACAGTCTCCAAGAGACCAAACTGTAGCATACTGAGAAAAAAAGATTTACATACCATTGGTATCAGGCAAGCATCACTGTCCTGTTCAACCTGCTTCTGTTCTCTTCACATCTACTCAGTCTTTCAAATTTGTCTCAAAGTAGATTAAAGCTTTTTTTTTAATAATGCTTGCCCCATTTTACAGTTTTCAATGTGATACATCCATGATCTTCCCTCCCGCATTGTTCCAAAGTTTATTTAATTCTCACTACTGAAAGTACTCTGCTGTTGAATTTACCCTGCTTCAGCTGTCGCTACTTGGGCCCTGGGCAGCAAATCTGTAGTCTTCTCCCCAGTTCCGGTACCATATACAACTGCCTTCACACACTAACTGCCTTATCTCAGCTCTCCCTTTTATACGTTATACGCACTAAGCTCCCTAAGCCTCGTATCTGAGATTTGTTTTCTATTCCCAGCTTGGTTCTGTTTCACCTTTCAACACTGAACATCGTTTGATGTGTGGCAGTCCTTGAAGTGGCCTTACTAATGCTGTTCACTGAGTGAACTGCTACCTGATTCCCTAATGCACTCCTATTTCCAAATTAATTTATTCAAAGCCTTTTCTTCTATAATATTGGTTTCAAATCTTGAGATTACTTTTCATGACCTCTAAATCATTCTAAACTACCACCATCTTTGGCATCTTCATCATTCCTTAGGTATAAACCAGTGTTCTTACCGCAGTGTTTGAATTGATTCCTCTCGATTCCAAGGGTTTGTTGGTTGGTTTGTTTAATGCTGATTTAAAACCACTTTGGGATAGCCTATTTCTTAATATCCCCTAACAAACTTTAAAAAAGCATTGGTAAAACTACCTTCCACTAAAACATGCTGGCCAGCTCACCACAGAATGGTGTAGGTTGGAAGGGACCTCCAGAGGTCCCAGACTACAGAGGTCTGCAATCCACCCTCCTTCGCAAAACAGGTACAGCTGGAGCACAGTACTCTGCGCCAGTTTTGCTCATGTTTTGATTATCTCCAAGAACAGAGACTTTACAACCTCTCTGGGCAACCTTTGCCAAGTTTGACTCTGGTAGAGGTAATTATTCCTCTGTTGTACTGGGCCAAAATTTTTTATATGCCCTGAGGTGCATTGCTGCTTATCTTTCCATAGTGCACACTGGAGAAGAGTCTGGCTTCTCTGCACCCTCCTCCTACATAGCTGCTGACAGCACTGAGATCTCCTCATGCCTTCTGTTCTTCAAGATGAACACAGGCCACGTGTGCCAGCCCCTGACCAGTTTGGCAGGTCATGTACTCCAGCACGTGGTCCCACAAGTGCTGAACAGTGGAAGATTCGCCTCCCTTCACCTCCCGGTTATGCTCTTGCTAATGCAGCCCAAGGGGCCGTTTGGACTTGTTTGCTGCAAGGTATGTTGCTGGCTCATGGTCAGCTTGTTCACCAGGGACCCCTATGTCTTTTCCTATGAAGTTGCATTCTAGTTACTGCCCCCAGGCTGTAGTGATCCATGGCCTTTTTCCATCCCAAATGTCTGACTCTGCATTTGCTTTTTGTTGAACTTCATTGGGTTCCTCTCAGCAGCCTGTTTCTCCAGGCTGTCCAGCCCCCTCTGAATGGCAGCCCTGCCCTCCTGCATAGTGTCTGCTCCCCTCAATTCATCATCATCATCGGCAAACTTGCTGGGAGTGTGCTCAGTCTTCCAAGTTGTTAATAAAGAGTTAAGGTTATTGGCTCAGGTATTGATCCCAAAGCCAAGCAGCCATACTGCTGATCACCACACTTCCACACTTTTTAAGCCTGATGGCCCAGACAATTTTCCACCAGCCTTATTTCCCAGTTAGCCAATCTGTATCTCACCGATTTGGCTATAAAGCTACTATGGGAGACTATAGCAAAGTATTTGGTGAAGTCAAAATATACATCATCTGTCAGTTTCCCCTTGTCCACACATCCAGTCATCTCATCGTACCCTATTTATTGGTGCTACAGAAATAACTACTTCTTTGTAAAAAATAATTTATGTCATAATCCAAATGTTTGTCTTCATCAACTGGCCCACCTTGCTTTTAAGCAACCGTACCTGCTTATGCCTTCACATAATCCAAAGAAATGTATTTAAGTACAAATTCTGTTTTCAAACCACATTGCATTGTGACCAAGTTTCGTAAGTTTTCCTACTAAAAATTGTCTCCAAAATAACATTAAAAGCCTTAAAACAACTAAAGTACATTTACAGATATCCATATATCTAATTTTAAAAGTTTTATTTGGAATAAAGAAATGGAGGAAAACTCTCATGTTGCAAGCATCATTATGTTACTGCAGTAATTGGTAAAAATATTAATGAAGTTTTAACCCACTCACACAAGACACCAGTCCACAAGACACTTTTGCTCTTCTCCA